GTTTTCACCTCGATCGCGTGTGAATAATCCTTCTGTGAACATCTGTGTCAAATATCAGTTTGAGTCCCAGCGTTCAATTTATTTCTAAACTCGAGTTATTGAAAAAGAAATTAAAGTCCATAAAGCTTAGTAAATTGTACAAAGTTGGACAATTTAGGAAGCAAAGTAGCTATATTATTCCATACAGGTGAGAATTGACTTCAAGACTAGACTTTTTCACTGTGCAAAGTTTTTTCTCCTTTCACGAAGGATGAAAATATCATCTGGCCTTTGGGATTGCATGAAAGCATTCTTGGGTAGACAAGTCTTACAGAACCTTTTTAAATGAGTCCTAGATCCTGAGGTGTTTATTTCCCCCCAGACTTCTAGCTAAGAATTGTAGGAGACATTTTTTAACTGCTAGTGAAATCTATCAGTATTCCAGGGCAGGGCTAAGTGAGGTTCTCCTGAGAATTAGTAGAGGAAATTCAATGCTTGGACAGATAAGAGAGAAGGTAGGTATCTGAAAAATATGTATTATTAAGCAGAGAAAAGATAGAATAAAGTCAACCAAAATAAGAGAATAAATGTCTAGATGTTTAGTTTAAGTCACATATTCATAAGAACAGGACTTTGGAGACAAGATCTATGTGAATGATGCTTAAGTATGCATTTGGCCTTTTCTTGGTAGGGGAAAAAAGGGCTCTGCTGGCAAAGTGGCAAAAACATTGGCTTGCTAACTAGAAGAACCAACCAGCCACTCTTGGAAGAACTAACTGACAGTCTCATTCTCTGAAGATCCTAGCCGTGGACGTCCTGAGGGACAGTTGCATTGTGTTCAATAGGTCCCTGTAAGTTGGAATCCACTCCATGGTAATAGATTTTTTTGGGTTGTGGTGGGAGGTAAGTAGGAATATAACGTATATGAGACAGAACAATATTTAACATGAAAATTCTAAGCAGCTTTCTTAATGAGTGAGTAAGGAGCAAGCCAAGATTAAAAACAAAATGTTGAACTTAATTCTGGATTTTTCGTGATTCTTAAGTGTTGTTATGTGGAGTTTCTAAAAAAGCAGGAGAGGAACACCAGAGGAAATATGGCTCCACATAAATTTCCATTAGAAAAGTTGTTTGACATGAGGCACTGTTTTCCTTCTAGCTGAATCTTGTAAACTACACATTTTGAATTAAATGTTGGTTTTTAAAAAAACGACAATTTATATTTATGGAACTGTGAAAGAGCTAACACCTAAAGATAATTACTCAGGAAGTATGTATTTTTTCCCATAATAACTAAGTATGATATTGTTCAGGACTTACATATTTCTTTTTATTTTGAGGAGATCTTTTTACAATAAGGACAGTTTTATTGTTTTGTTTTTTTATAGATGTCTTTGTGGCACAAAGGTAAGAAAAAAAATATTTCTACTAGGGTTCCAGTTCATACACTGTCATTTGTGCCATCATATTGGTGCCAATTCATTGTGACTCTATGTCGCAGTCACAGAATCTGGTGTCAATTTGAGGATTCAGAGTGAAGGAGAGGATTCAGAGTGAAGGTTATCAGATAGTAGCTTGATAACCTCATATGAAGGCCCTAAGGAGATAAATCGCTCCCTAGAGGCGGGACACAGGCTCACTCCTGGGGGACATCCCTGTGGAGAAGACACATGGAGAGAGGCTGATGGAGCCAGAACTCTGAAGCCAGAGAAGCCACATGGAAACCACTGCCAGCGCTGAGATGCTTATGATGCCACTGAATCCACAAGACTTCCCACCCACTGGCCTGTGATCTTCCTGAATTCGGCATCAGTGTATGTGTTTTGTGAGTTAAGAGAACTTTATAGATAGGTATCAGACATCTGGGCTAATATCAGCTTATAGACTTGATCTCAACTGGACTGGGATGTTTTCTTAATGTACAATTACTCTTTATATAAAGCTCTTTCATCCCAAACCCCAGCCAGTCCTAGGGCTTTGGGGCTCAGCTCAAGGGGTGTCCTTCTAGGACATCGGGGTACAGTGAATGGTGTGACCCTTTGCCTGGGCATGCCTACACAGCAGGGTACACTGGGCCCCTCTAGGATTTCCCATATGGGCTCCAATAAATTTCTTCCCTTTTGCTTAAAAAACAAACAACAACAACACAACAACAAAATAAACCTCTTTCTTATACACATATGAGTGTCTGTGAATTTGTTTCTCTAGTCTACCTGTACTGACCCACCCTGTGTACAATAAAAGGCAATGCTGTTTGATCTTGGGCCATCCTCATAATTTCTGTTATGTTTGAGCTCACGGTTTGCAGCCATAACTGTGAAGGTTTTCCTTGTTTTCATTGTCACTATTCTTTACCAAGTGCAATGTCTTTCCAGGGACTGATGTTTCCTGGTAACATGTCGAAAGTACTTGAGACATCATTTCACTGTCCTTGATTCTAAGGAGGACAATGAAAAGATGTCTCAAATTCTTTTAGGTGCCCAGCTCTACTTCTTTGAATGAAAATGTGTTTGATTTTCTGAAAGCCCATGGAACAGCCAGTATTTTTGCCAACATCATAATAGAAATGCACCATTTTTTTCTCTGATCTGCTTATGTTGTCCAGATTTCACATGCATCTGAGGTGATGGAAAGTGTCATGGTTTCGGTGAGTTCTCAAGGCAACGTGTTGCTCTTTAGCACTTTAAATAGATCTTGTGCCGCTCATTTGTCCAATGCAGTGTATCGTTTGATTTCTTAACTCTTGCTTCCATGATGATTGTTTGTGAATCCAAGTAAAATAAATCCCTTGACAACTTCAACCTTTTCTCTATCTATCATATTATCTATTGGCTAGTTGTGAAGTCTTTTGTTTTCTTTTCATTGAACTTTAATCCATACTGAAGGCTATTGGATCTTCATCAGAAAGAGCTTCCAAACATCTTGGCTTTCAGCATGTAAGGCTGTGTATCACTGATGGTTAATGATCCTTCCTCCAATCCTGATCATGTTCTCTTGGGTTATTTGTTTAGCAAAATATATTGAAAAGTATGGTGAAAGGATATGACCATGACATACACCTTTCCTGATTTTTAAACTGCACTATCCCATCCATCTCTTGGAATGAGTGTCTCTTGGCTATAAGGAGGTTTTACAGGAGTATAATTAAGTGTCCCGGGATTCACATTTATCACAATATTATACATAATTTGCTATGCTCCACAAAGTCAAATGCCTTGTATCCCATAACACAAGTAAACATCTTTCTGGTATCTTAGCCTGATATCTCATCCATCTGACATCAGAGATAATATCTATCATTTCACAACATCTTTGCATTCTAGCTTGACTTTCAGGCAGCTCTCTGCTGAAGTATCACTGCGACATGCATGAGTTTATTTCAAACAAACATTTTTTAAAAGGTCTCTCTGATTACTGCATATTACAGAAAGGTTCCTTTAGCAATAAATGTTTTTCAGTCTCCCTGGAGTGTCCTTAGAAGAAAAGGCTTAATTAATGAGTAGCTCCTGAGATTTGATGGGCCAGGTCAAGTTAATGCAGAGAGATCAGCTTAGAAGGGTCTGGTGACTGTCTGGGGGAATTCCCCAGTGACAATTGTAATAGATCTTCTCAAGTGGCACAGAGTAAGCATGGAGCTTATTATGAAGAAATTTTAAGACAATGGAAAACTACATTGGTGAGAAAAGGCCAAGAAACTTGCATCGAGGACTTTTTATACATCATGACACCGCAACTGCTCCTGTAGGAGGGACTGTCCTATGACCACCATGTTGGGAAACTGTCCACCCTGTACACTTTATCTTACTTTCTCAGACTTCTGTTTGCTCCTCAAGTCCAAGAAATATTTTAAAGGAAGATGACTTAAGTTCTTCCAAGATGTGGTACAAATTGAAGAGCACGTAATTCTTTGGGGAAGGGTTAGAGCATAGGTACACAAACTTATTTGGCCGACTGCCCCTTTTCAGAAAAAAAAATGTTTAATACTCAGTGTCAACCCCTTCCAGTGATTAAACATTGTTTTTCTTTAATCTATAATCCAGGATACAGTGTAGCTATCTGATTTTGCAGTCCTCCTGGATCCTTCCGGTGCCTCCAGAACCCCCGCTCCAGGTGGTGGTCTCACCGCTTTGGTAAACATCGGGTTAGAGGGATGCAAACATTGCCTTCAGAAGGTATAGATCTAGACAGAATATACTGAGGACGGGTAGCTTCTCGTTTTGACATTTTCTTTGCTTTTTTTATGATTTTGTAGTAACGGTTTTTGAATTATCCTTGTATTCTGTCAGTTATGCTTCTGATTTTATTGTGATTCTTTGCCTCCCTTACAGAAGGCACATTAGGCCTTTCAATTTCAAAGATGTATAATGTCATAATACCATAAGTTTGGCTATAGCTATCATTTTGTCCTAGACCGAATTAAGACGACAGTTAAATTGAAGACAAAATTATTAGATTATTGTAAGTGAGCATTCCTTTACATTTTATTTCCTTTGGGATCATGTATGTGTCAATCAAATTTATATTTGTCTCTTTCATTTCTGTATGCTTCTGGGTACTCAATGGAGTCCCTTGGCAAAGACAGAACTGTGTCAGAAAAATATATGCCGAAAGGATGAAAGCAGTAGTCTAGCCCAGCAAGCATCACTGGACATTCCACCGAAAAAGGGCAGATGACAGTCATTGAAATAATTGACTAAAATTAAGAAGATTGTGCATTCAGAAATTGATAAAGCAAATTTAAAGTACGTATTTTGAAAAAAAAAAAGTTCTGTTTCTTTTAGATGGGAACACCTGTCAAGAGAAGTGATAACAATTTTATATTAATTTGCCACCCTACCATCAAATAAAGCAAACATCTATTTTATGCTAGATAACAGAATAATTTAATATTAGAACAATGCTAGGTGAATAATGTGTGATGACCATAAATGTGTCACTTGCTGTGGGTTGACAAAATAACTCAGTTCTTTTTGCTCATTGAAAAGATGAACTGAAATTATCTGCTATAAGAAATATTTCAGGTGCTCACTTTGTCAGCACATTTACTAAAAATTGGAATGATACAGAGTAGATTACCATGGCCCCTGTGCAAGGATGGCATGCAAATTCGTGAAGCGTTCCATTAAAAAAAGAAAGAAAAATATTTCAGGTTCTACTTAATTCTAATGCAATGAGAAAAGAACACCATTAATTTAATTTATGTTCTAGTTTGAAGCTTAGATTTCATATTGAGCTTGGAGAACTTTTTAAAGTTCATTGATAGTGATGCAAATGGACTCAATAGCAACTGGGAATCTCATCCAGTAAATGAAAATGAAATGTCTAAAGTTACAGTTTTGTTTTGTTCTTATTACAATTCCTTTAGAAGCTAATGATTAACTCAGACAAATTATCCATTGAAGTAAAAATACATAAATTAGTGCTTAGAATGCAGCAATATATTAGACATCAAACATAACTTCTGCAATACAGAGACATTTTAACATAAAAACATGTTTAGTCCTGAATAGATAATTCTTATCTTCCTCTTCGCTAATCTGCATGCACAGAATCTTTGCCTTGATAGATCGCTGTAGCAGCCTGATTATGAGGAATACTTCCGAGTTACATGTAGAGAATGATTTGAACCTTCAGTGAAGCAAAATATTCTGAAATGAGAGCTGTATTAAATATCTAGAGTCCATAATTTTTTAAAATCCAGAAATGTGAAATGCTGAGAGATTTTTAATTGCAAATGTTCATTTTGATATTTTTATCTCCAACTTAATAACCTGCACTACCACCTCCCACCAACCCTCCAAAAACGGTCAATATATGTGACAATATATCTTCAAAATGTATATCCTAATTTTAAATTTTATTCTTGCTCAGTTTCTCTCCAATATCATGTTTCTTACAATTTTATATGATGGCCTATAAAATACCTCATTCCCCTGTATTATTTAGCTAGGTTACATTAACTTGAAACTGTATCCCGGATTGCAAATGAAAGAATTATTCTGAAATAGACATGCAATGTGAAAGCCCATGTCTAAAAATAGTTTCTAAATGTGAAGCAAAGAGAACTTCAGTCTTCCTTATAATTAGAGATGTGCGAGTGTGCTGATGTGGAAGCGTGCAACTTAGTATGGGAGGAGAAATAAAATGGAGAATGAAATGTTCCTGAGAGAGAAGGGTATTAACATTTAATTTATTTATAATAATTTATAGATCCTTTATTTACACAAATTTAGGAAAAGTAAATATTTAATTAGATATTATTTATATCTTATGTAAAAAATTTCAGTTTAAACAAACACACAGAAAAATAAACATGTTCATAATACAAGCATACATAACCTAAAAGCTTAAGGAAAGACTGCATCTAAAAATGTGCATACAATTCTGCTTTCTAACAGTTAAATATGGAGTTATCAAGGTATAAAACTGTAACTCAAACTAAACAAAAACAATCACCATCATATTATATGATTGATGTTTACAATTCCATTTGGCAAAACACATCTGTGATAATATCACAATCTATTACATTAACATAGTGACTGCGAAACTGTAGAATAAGGTGTTGTGTATTTACACATGAATCCTCTTTTCCTTGAGGGGATTATAAATGATTGTAAATGATTGACTTTCAGAGTACAGAAAATGCACAGCTTGTGAAATACAGAAATTATCTTCAAGATCTGCTAACTGTGCTCTCTCGGAATACAGAAATATTTCTCTTTTTTATTATTAAATAATGTTATTGGGGGCTCTTACATCTCTTATCACAATCCATACATTCATCCAGTGTGTCAAGCACATTTGCACATATGCTGCCATCAACATTTTCAAATCACTCTCTTCCCACTTGAGCCCCTGAGAGCAGCTCCCCCGTGTCTTCCCCCTTGCTCCCACACACACCATCCCTCACAAATTCTTGATAAGTTATAGATTATTGTTTTCATATTTTACATCATCCTCCATCACCCCTCACCCACTTTTCCATTGGTCATTCCTCTGAGAGGGGGTTATAGGTTGATCCTTGTGATCTAGTCCTCCTTTCTTCCCACCCTCCCCTAATCCTCCTAGTATCCTTCCCACCCTCCCCTAATCCTCCTAGTATCTCTACTTTCATTGTTGGCCCTGGGGAGTTTATCTATTCTGTATTCCCTGTGTTGCGGGCTCTTGTCCGTAGCAGTGTGCATATTCTGGTCTAATCCAATTTGTAGAATTGAGGTCATGATAGTGGGGAGAAAGAAGCACCAAAGAACTAGAAGAAAGTTGTGTGTTTTATCAGTGATGTACTGCACCCTGATTGGCTCATTTCTTCCCTGTGACACCTCTGTAGGGGCATGTCCAATTGTCTACATATGGGCATTGGGTCTCCACTCCATGCTGCACCCCACCCCACCCCCATTCACCTTTGGTATGATTTTGTTCTGGGTCTTAGATACCTGGTACCTGTTCCCATCGACAGCTCGTGATCACACAGGCTGGTGTGCTTCTTCCATGTGAGCTTTGTTCCTTCTCAACTAGATGGTCCCTTGTTTATCTTCAAGGCTTTTAAGACCCAAGACACTATTTCTTTCAATAGCCAGGCACCATCAGTTTCCTTCACCACATTATTTTTATGTACCCATTTTGTATTCAGTGATCATGTTGGGTAGGTGAGCATCACAGAATGCGGAATTGTTAGAACAAAGTGTTCTTGCATTGAGGAAGTGCTTGAGTAGAAATCCAATGTCCATCTGCAACCTTAATTTTTAACATATAGATATGAGTACATAGTTCTATTCCCTTCTCGTTATATATATTTACATATGTAGATGCCTGTATTTAGACCTCTATAAATGTCCTTTGCCTCCTGGTTCTTTCCTCTATTTCCTTTTACTTTCTTCTTGTTCCATGATCATGTTCGGCCTTCATTTGGGTTTAGTAATTCCTCGCTGCTACATTGCCCTTGATTAAGCCCCACTAGGCACCCTATGCCCTTCTCTCCATTGATTTTAGTTCACTTGTTCCTTGTCCCTGGGTTGGTTCCCCCTCACCCCTTCCTTTCTCCCACCTCCCCTTCTCCCTTACCTCCCCAGAACCATTGGTCTTGTTCTTTTCGACTCTGAATTATTTATCCCACCTATCTTATCTAGATAGACATGAAGATGCATTGATAAGCGCAAAAACCCGGCAAAGCCAAATAAAGCAACAAAGGAAGTCAAGACCAACAGAAAAATAGAAACAACAACAACAGCAAAAAGAAAGCCACTGACAAAAATGGAAAGATATATAAATAGTTCAAGGTCTATTTGTTTGCTTTTAGAAGTATTTTCCAGTAGCGTCTGATGGGGTGCCACATTGTCTCCAAAGTCTATTTTTTATATCCTCTGGGAATTTCATCACTTTGCTCCTCTTGCTGCTCTGTTGCATACCCTTAGTGTTTCCCCGCAGTGTGATAGGGTCAGATTATGCACAATTCCCACACTGTGTCTCCAGTATTGTCCCCTACAGCGCTATGGTTTACTGAGGGATGCCATGTCTTGTGGTGGGGTCTGCCTTATGGTCCTGTGTGTGTGTCTGTTCTAAGCAGGAACATCATCCTCAGGCTTGGTGGGCCAGGATGTCCTCGCCTCCCTCTCCATTCCTTTTCATTTCTTCCATGTGCTCTACTCAGACGTGCCCCTCTTCCCAAGCTGTAGCTCCAGTGCAGTCCTCTGAAGTGCAGTCTTCTGGGGTAAGGGGGGAATTCATATAGCTGAGATTTGAGCTATCTTTGAGGGTGTTAGGTAGGATCTCATAGTTGTTTTAATTTGCATTTCTCTTATGGCTAATGATTGGGAACATTTTCTGATATATTTATTAGCAATTTGGATTTCTGCCTCTGTGAAACTTCTGTTCAGGTCCTTTGCCCACGTCCTTAGGAGGCAGTTCATTTTTTTTCTTTCTTATTGTAGGTTTGCAAAGTGTTGTAGAGATTAGTAATAAGGCCTTTGATGTGTCATCACGAAAGATGTTTTCCCAGTTTGTGGGTTCTCTTATTACTCTCTTGGTGAATTCTTCCAATGTACAAATGGACAAGTGGGATACACAACCCTTCCCTAATTCTGATAGCCTGTGTATTCCCTGTGCCAAGATTGTGAGGTTTGTTCTAATTCCCTCATTAATGGTCTTAATAGTTTGGGGTTTTACCTCAAGGTCTGTGACCCACCTTGAGTTTATTCTTGTGCATGCAGTGAGGTAAGGGTCGTGCTTCATTTTTCTGCAGGTAGATATCCATTTTTTTCCAGCACCACTTGAAGTATCCGCTTCCCATTTGATATTTTTGAGGCTCTTATCATAAACGACTTGTCTCTATATTTACGTTTTTATTTCTGGGTTTTCAGCTCTTTTCCATTGATCTGAATAACCGTTGTTATGCAAGTACCACATTGTTTTGACCACTGTGGGTGTATAGTATGTGCTAAAGTCAGGTAGAGTAAGCCCTCCCACTCTGTCCTTCTTCCTGAGGAGTTCTCTGCTAATTCTGGGTTTCTTCCCTCTCCATATAAAGTTGGTAATCAATTTTTCCAATTCTTTGAAGAAGGATGATGGTATTTGTATCAGGATAGCATTAAACTTATATAGCACCTTGGGCAGAACTGCGATCTTTACTATAACTATATTGAATCTTCTGATCCATGAGCATGGGATATTCTTCCAATTGTTGAGGTGACTCTTGGTTTCTAATAAAAGTGTCCTATAATTTTCCTCATACAAATCTTTTGGTTTTTTTAGTCTGGTATATCCCTAGCTATTTCAATTTGTGCTTGGCTATTGTAAAGGCTACTGCCTTTTGAATTGCCTCTTCTGTGATCTTGTTTGATGTGTACAGCAGTCCAATAGACTTCTCTTTGCTGATCTTGTATCCTGCCAATCTGCCATATTCCTCTATCGCTTCCAACACTCCACTTGTGAAGTTTTGGGGATTTTCAACATAAAAAATCATATTATCTGCAAATACTGATAGTTTTGCCTCTTCCTTCCCCAGAAGAACACCTTTGATGTCTTTTCTTTGTCTTATGTTGTTAGCTAGGACCTCCAGCATGATGTTAACTAGGAGTGGGGACAAGGAGTATTCTTGTCTGGTCCCCTTTTTTCAGTGAAATTGGTTTTG